ACTGTTAAGTGTGGTGAAGATGCATACTTCATCATATCATCCCCATTCTGGAACAACTACATACATGTACTCCTCCATTGGGACCAACCATTCACAGTCTTAGCTCTCGAAAACCTCCGTTGGACCACCAGACTTGAACATCATTGCCAGGCCAAGAAGGAAATGAACAAAATCCCTGGAGATGTACCAATGAGAATGGAATAAATAAGGGAGCCGTTGTCAAGGCAACTATTACATAATGTTCTATGCTAGAGCTTTAAAGGATCCATGCACAACTCACCTAAACAAAAACCAAATTTTAAAATTCATCCGACAAGAAGTGTAAGGCTGTTCTGGAAAGCTTACTGTGAGAAATATAATACCAAATACCAGGTGAGTCTCCTAACGTATGTTATTTTTGTAAAGCTAAAGTGCTTTATATGTGTTATGTATTTTGTATAAACACGTTAAACGGAAGATAAATTGATTAACATGTACAAGTACGTATGTTATTTTTGTAAAGCTAAAGTGCTTTATATGTGTTATGTATTTTGTATAAACACGTTAAAAGGAAGATAAATTGATTAACATGTACAAGTACTCTCCTAAAAAGTTTTATTGCAAAACTAAAAACATTTTACATAACTAAAAAAATTCTATTTAAAATCTAACTTCTTGTAAATGTTTTACATTTATAAGCTGTATCATTAAAGTAATGTGAGCCCAAGCCCTCTTCAGTGTCTTAAACTTGGAATTTTCCTGTTTTTGTACGGTGATAAATATTAAAGACAAATAATTAGTATCTTATGGTATAGGCCACTTGATTAATAATTATGTTTTCGAATAAAGTCGATTATAATCTCAAGTTTCACATTCAGATACAACTGTTTATATCTAAATAGTAGCATGCCACATTTTAATGTTCCTCAGCGTTACCTTTATGGACTTACAACGATAAAATTTGATTTTCCTGAATTGGACAGTTACACAACAGCCGTGTCCGGCATTGCCAGGTGGTTACGGCACTCGACTCGCAATCTGAGGGTCGCGGGTTCGAATCCCCGTCACACCAAACATGCTCGCCCTTTCAGCCGTGGGGGCGTTATAATGTGACGGTCAATCCCACTGTTCGTTGGTAAAAGAGTAGCCCAAGAGTTGGCGGTGGGTGGTGATGACTAGTTGCCTTCCCTCTAGTCTTACACTGCTAAATTAGGGACGGCTAGCGGAGATAGCCCTCGTGTAGCTTTGCGCGAAATTCAAAAAACAAAAAAAAACATTTAATTAAAGTTTTATTTCTTTTGAATGTAAATTATCAGAATTGTGTTTTTATCCTAACCGCGTCCTTAAAAATCTTCAGCCATTCATACATCTTTTCTACATGATAGTCATTCAAAATACATCCTCAACAAAACAAGAGAAAAGTGACGTAATTTCCTGCATATCACGTATAACTGTCGTGCAAATCCGCTAAGGTGGAAACGTCGAACGAGCCACTTCTGCGTGTAAAAGTGGTTTATGTGAAATCGACTTCACCCAACAGATCAAGGTTAAAATGCCGTGAGAAACACCCTTGAGTCAATTATCTTCCCTGAAACTGTCCAAAAAAAAACAAGATTTTTACGACAACACCGAGTTTTATGTTTACCTTGGATAGCTTCCAATTGAAAGAGCATCAAGAATTTAGAGGATGCTTCAGTACTGGTAAATTTATTCATCTATTTAATGTGTCATATTGAGATTTATAATCCATTGTTCTGTATAAAGCAAAATATCAAAGGCCGAAACCCCCATGAGAATGCAATCACATGTATCACAAATATATAAACTCTTATATCTATTAGCGGCCCGGCATGGCCAGGTGGTTAGGGCGCTCGACTCGCAATCTGAGAGTCGCGGGGTCGAATCCCCGTCCCATCAAAAATGCTCGCCCTTTCAGCCGTGGGGGCGTTATAATGTGACGGTCAATCCCACTATTCGTTGGTAAAAGAGTAGCCCAAGAGTTGGCGGTGGGTGGTGATGACTAGCTGCCTTCCCTCTAGTCTTACACTGCTAAATTAGAGATGGCTAGTGCAGATAGTTCTCGTGTAGTTTAAAACAAACAAACAAACAATGTCAAATAGTTTTGCCCCCTAGTGGCACAGCGGTATGTATGCGGACTTACAACGTTAGAATCCGGGTTTTGATACCCGTGGTGGGCAGAGCACAGATAGCCCATTGTGTAGCTTTGTGCTTAATTATAAACAAACTAAGAGTTTTCAACATATTTCGAAAATAAAAAGACTTGAAGTTTTCTCGATAGGATTTATTAATAACAGCTAACCAAACAGTTTACCCTAAAATAAAAAGACTTGAAGTTTTCTCGATAGGATTTATTAATAACAGCTAACCAAACAGTTTACCCTAAAATAAAAAGGTGTTAAGAACAACAGGAAATCCATTTAATAATCATATCAACATTGTGAAGGTTAATGTTAAGAAATATAATTTTGTAGATTAGGTTTATACTTCGGTGTTTTTCCGTGACTAACTAATTTATTTATTTTTTTTATTTTTTTTTTACGCTAGAACTGTTGGCGCCATTGGCTTTTTAGATAAGTTTGTTCTAAATTATTTATACACCAAATTACTTAAGGTCATGACTTTGTTGGTTACAGAGTTTCTTATAACTTATCAGTTATCAGAAAAGAGGTTTAAACAAAAATATCGTCAATGTCGCAGTTAATCTCATTAATTGCTGCTGGGATTCCCTTTTTATTTTACCCAAAAATTAATTACCAAATTTGTACAAAGTTTTTAACAGAAAAACATAAAAGCCGATCAACATCATGCAATATGTGGATCCCACTGACAGTGAAAGATAATGAACATCATGCAATATGAGGATCCCACTGACAGTGAAAGATAATGAACATCATGCAATATGTGGATATCACTGACAGTGAAAGATAATGAACATCATGCAATATGGGGATCTCACTGACAGTGAAAGATAATGAACATCAATATGTTGATCCCACTGACAGTGAAAGATAATGAACATCAATATGTGGATCTCACTAACAGTGAAAGATAATGAACATCAATATGTGGATCCCATTGACAGTGAAAGATAATGAACATCAATATGTTGATCCCACTGACAGTGAAAGATAATGAACGTCAATATGTTGATCCCACTGACAGTGAAAGATAATGAACATCAATAGTGAAAGATAATTGTAACAGTTAATAAAAATTATTTTTTAATATTTGTATAGTAACAGATTGTTTGTAGTTAAGCATGAAGCTATACAATGGGCTATCTGTGCTCTGTCCACTACGGGTATTGAAACCCAATTTCTAGCGTTGTAAGTCCGCAGACATGCCTCTGTGCCACTGTATGGCAGTTTGATTGGGAATAACGAAATGTTAATTGTGTACTCCGCATATTCTGTATAATGATTTCCCTCATCTGATGGTTTAGGAGTGAACGGCAGTATTTAAGATTCAGTTGAAATCAATAACGTGCAGTATTTATTGACATATTTGTCATTCGAACTAAAACAATAGGAATTAATTTTTTCACAGCAATGGTGTGAGTGGACATGTGGTGCACGCCTCACACTTTCACGTGTGGGTGTGTTATAATAATGACAACCAGCCCCTTTATTCAATACAAAGCCGAACAAAGCACTTTTGACGAAAGGTACTGTTGACTGGTTGTCTTCTGGTTGGTAGGCAGTTCAAAGTTATGAACGAGGTCTAGAGACTCTCACCTCATCATTTAGCCCTTATATGGATAAGGTTCCACTTAAGTTTAAAATACCAATCCCATATTTATTTTCTACTGACTTTATTCTTAATAGTAATTAGCTCAAAACCATTAAAAAAAAGGTTTTAGTTATTTTTATCTAAAAATGTATCACACAAATGAACTTGACAGATGAATAATTGACAATGGAACTGTGTTTTTCATTTAGAAAACAGGTATTGTTCGTATTTTTTTTAAATACTGTATTAATTAATTGCCCCTCTTAAGATTTGAAGGCAGAGCATAGCCTGGTGGTTAACACACTGGACACAGAATCTAGTGATTAATGGTTCACGCCCCCTTGCTGCAAGAATGTGCACTGATCTTTGGATCCGTAAATGCGCTATTTCGTATTTCACCAGAAAAGAGCAGCCCAAGTCGGCGGAGTGTGCTGGTGACTAACTCCCCCAACCCCTAGTCTATCAGTTAAAATTTAGGAACAGTCATATTGGATAGCCCTTGTGTAGATTGTATGATAATTCGAAACAAACAACCTAAAAGTTTGCCCAAGTGTTATAATTAGTAGTCATATTCTCAACTTCTTTAAAATGAATAACAATTCACTAATTCAATATTTCAGTGTCTGAAAAATGAAGATGATTTTTCTGCAAAACTTGCATTCAATAGAACGAATAACTCAAGTCAAAACCTTACGAACTTATAACTAGAAATGGGACTTACATATATTTTGTAAGTATAGTATAATGTTATTTTATCATATAATTTCTATGTGAGTTTCCATTTCACAAATTGTTATTAATAATTCGGTTTCAAATTTTCCATAACACTAAAAATTAAAATTTCGAGGTATTTTTTTTGTGTGTTTTTTAATGTAAATCATTTTAAACATCTCACAAAAAATTATTTCAATTAAATACGTGAGTTGGCAATGCGCTGCATATAACAACCATCAAACACCCACAAACTAGACGAAAAAACAAAACTGCATGTCTCTACAGGTCAGAAACGTGATTAATGGAAGACTTGCATTAATCCATTGTCGCCCCACATCTTGTACAGGGTCGACGAGTGACTTTTAAGGAAGATCATGTCTCAGACTTGATTGGGTGTTGATAACAAGTGAAGAAGAACTTGTAGATGACGTTAAAGATGGCAAGTTGACTCACAAAAAAAAACACGTATTCTCTGTTTCCGTAGAGTATATAAAGGGACAATACTTACCATGTTTTTCAAAACTGGGAATCACACAAATCGTCTAAGCGCAAATTTTATCAAGAGGTACAATAAGGAATTGCAACTTACCTCCCTCTGTAATAACATGATTTTAAAGGTGAGAATTAACAACTTTTTTATGTTAGAATGTTTTTTATGTTATTTAGTATAAATTTAATGAAACAATAAAAAGCTTCAGCTAAATTGTCCTTAAAATCAAATAGATTAAACTTAGAAAAAAAAATTATATAGTTCGTATTTCTAATTTGAAATACAAATTTATTAAAGTATTGGATAAAATTAGTTTTTGAAAATTGTTTTGTTTCTTTATTTGTTGAAATTCGTGCAAAGCTACTCGAAGGCTATCTGTGGTAGACTAGAAGAAAGGCAACTAGTTAACACCACCCACCGCCAACTCTTAGGTTACTCTTTTACTAACGAAATATGGGATTTACCGCTACATTATAATGCCCTCACGGCTGAAGGGGAGAGCACGTTTGGTGACGGGATTCGAACCCGCGAACCACAGATTGTAAGTCAAGCGTCTTAAACACCAGGACATCTGACACATAAATTATACAAATAAACTGTTTATAGTGTAGCCACAAAATCTAAAATACCTTTTAATTTTGGGACCATAGTTATGCTATAAGATTAACAATTAAATCCCACTGTTCGATCACAAAAGAGTAGCGAAATAGTTGGCTGTGGATGTTATTGACTAACGGTCTTCTCTATAGTTTATCACTTCAAAATTAATGATGTTCACTAAACACAACCTTCTGTAGCCTTGCGAGAATATTCCAGATCACTCTAGATGTGCTTTGAGAACAAAGGGACATGAATCACGAACCCTTGAATACACATTCCGTGCACGATATCCACTGCCCAGCAAAATATAACAAGAGATGAAAATCAAAATTATAACTTGTTGTTTAGTAAACTTTTATCTGCGTATATCCGAGTTGAAAAATTGTTTCAGATCTTATTTTTTCCGTGGATTTTTAAATCTAAAGAAATACCATGTCTTTTTATTTGATACTTTATTATGTAGCTTTATAAGTTTATAAGCAGTAGAATTTTATCACGTTTCTAAAGAAATGTATTGAATAAATAGTTTAAATTCAGATCACTCACCTACACTTGTTTTCGAAACCCCAGGTTTAAAAATCAAATGATCTCTAGACATTGCCAGTGTGATTTTTAACGGTTAGAAATCCCTAAAAATAAAAGTATTAATTCTTCCTGAAAAGTTATAGTCTTTTAACTTTACTAGAGATAAGAATGAGATGCCTGTTACTTGTTATAATAGTTGGTGATCGTAGTCCTCTTGGGATTTGGAACATCTTGGGCACAACGATACAGAAGGCCTGTTGCTCCTGTCCGACCCAACGTAATCGTAAGTATATTGGTCACACACAAAATATTTCATGTTATCGTGTATTTAATATGAACCTTCAAAGTACGATAAAATATTTTGTTAGCATATAAGCCATCGTGTAAATTAAGAGGAAAATTAAATTGTGAAGGATAAATAAAACATAAATACACACGACCAAGACAAAAAACAATAACAGAACAATATTGTATTGGCTAAATTTACTTACTTATTTTTCAATATTTCAAAGGAATTACTATTTATTGATACCATACGTAAGTTGCATTTTACGGAAAAATTATTACGAAACTATATAATACTCGTAGATATTGTCCAATGACAAACGAAATCACGGCCATATCAGGTTTTCTTTCATCAGTTGTATTTCATCGTAAGTTAAAATATCAGAATATAAAAACTGATTGAATTGATTTATTCAGAATAATACAATGACGACATTTTCAGTGGTGTTCCGTATTCTTCTTTGTACTTTTTGGTAAAGATTCATTAATTGATTGCTGAGTTGTAAGAGCCGAGGAAAGATTTAATATGGAACACGAACCGTTGTCAGGAGTCGATATATGAGAAAACCTAAAGTCCATAGAAATTAATAACAACAAAGGACGAATATGTTTTTATTGGACTATCTGTGCTCTACCCACCACGGGTATCGAAACTCGGTTTCTAGTGTTGTAAATCCGCTGACATACCGCTGTGCCACTGGAAGGCTATTTATTGTTAAATGGACAATAGATTGGTTTACGTTTTCTGTAGGTTTATCCAAGAATGCATCATAGTCAAATCACTACCATCAAATATGCTGACTTATATACTCGGGGAAAATGTAAAATAAAACAGGTCAAACATTATTCAAATTCTATTTCAGGAATCAGTCCGTAGAATTTAAAGTTTTGTACTCCTTATTGCAATTATAATTTGATTTAATCTAATTTATCTTTAAGTTAACTTTTTTTTGAACACTTTGTTTTATAAAATGTGTTTTTCCGAAAGATAAGGGCTGATCCATTACTAATTTAAAACACTGGGTAGTAGCATATTATATATGATCAACTTTATAAAGACAAGCTTTTTTAGTAACTGTTGCAATAATGGTAAACCGCAAATGTTAATGTTGGAATCGAATTGGGCACATAACAAGATTTCCTTAAGTTAAGGCCATATTTACTTCATTATACTACTATTAAAATTTACTTTTGTAAACAAGGCTCAGAAATCTGATCAAGTATGTGTAAGTTGAAGAAATATGTTGTTGTTTTTGAATTTCATGTTGCAACAACAGTCTTTGGATGTGTGAATTTCAAACATTCACTTGTACAAAGTGCAAGCCAAAAATAAACCAGTTTAAAGAGACTAATAAATTTATACATAAATATCTATATATATATATCGAGATATTTAATGTTTGAATACTTTTTCATTCTGAAGGGCTCTCCTGAACCCTATGAATTCAGCTACAATTCCCAAGACGAATTCGGTACCAACTTATACAAAGAAGAACGAGGAGACAGCAGTGGAAACGTTTACGGAAAGTACGGATACAAAGATGCCCAAGGGCTGTACCGCCACGTTGAGTATACAGCAACAAATCAGAATGGATATCAAGCCTCTGTTCAATCAAATGAGCCAGGAACCTCTAATGATAATCCTGCTGATGTCACTATGATAGTCGAACCTCCTCCTCCAGGCATTCAGAACAAGTACACTCGTCCTGGTATCCGCCAACCACCTCAACGGTATTTCAGAAACCCTTAAAAATAAAAGGATTATAGATTGGCCTTCAATTCATCTCTGAATGATATGAAACTAGAAAAAGAGAAATTTAAACCGTTTATTGTCGGGGACATTTTCACAAGGTCCAAATTAACGAAAATCGCTCCTGTCTGTCATTGATTACCGAGAAATTTACACATATATATTCTTTTATCATATATTTAGCAGAAGTATAATTCTGTGCTTATCTGGCGTTAGTAGTATACTAATTCATTGATCTTTCGATTTTCAACCTTTCCTAGTTAGTATATTGTAGTTTTAGGTTAGACGTAACTGCTGGTAGATATTGTTATAAAGGACATTGTTTCTTCTTGAGAACATTGTTATTATGGGATGTAACGTATAGTGCATTTGAAAAAAACACACATTGTTACAGTTTCCCCATTTCGCAAAAAAAAAGCTATTTTTCTGTCATTTGTAGATATGTACTAACATGTAAAACATTCTGCATTAAACTGTAGCAGCAGTATTGCCTTGAAATAGTTTCTGACTTTTATTTCTGAGTGTTACTGGAAATAACAAATGTATACATATATATATATGTGTGTGCAAGTTGATTCAAAAATTATAAAGATTAAAAATTACATTTATATATCTGTATACATGTTTTCACGAATCGAACATTTATTTTTCGCTATTGATTTAATATATCGTTTCAATAAAGAAGTTATTTAAAGAAAAATGACCAGACAAATAAACATTACAAATTTCAAGAACAATTGTATCACTTAAATGAAAACAAAATCTGATAATTCAGTAAAAACGTGAATAACTCTGAGATCTTTCTTACAATTGCTTATGATAAACAAAAAATATTACACTCCCTTGATGATCCAAATTATAATGGTATTAGTTACTGAAAGGATTATTTTAAACTAATACTAAATAAGATGCATCGAAAACAAAAAAAAGCTCCTGTTGTATCTTCTATTCAATGTAGAAAGCTTTTTTTTTTACTTTACTACTGACCAGACCTCCAACAAGACAAGTGAAGTTTAATGTTATTTTTTGTTACTACTGACCAGACATCCAACAAGATAAATGAAGTTTAATGTTATTTTTTGTTACTACTGACCAGACATCCAACAAGACAAGTGAAGTTTAATGCTATTTTTTTTTGTTACTACTGACCAGACATCCAACAAGACAAGTGAAGTTTTAATGCTATTTTTTGTTACTACTGACCAGACATCCAACAAGACAAGTGAAGTTTTAATGCTATTTTTTGTTAGGCAGAAATCGTAGTGGTAACAGTTGTTGTTGTTGTTTTCTTAGCTATACACCGAGTTTTATAAACTCTGTCCACTAAGAGTAATTAAACCCAGGATTTTCGCGTTACACGTCCGTAATTTTTCTAGATACTATGAAAGAATGTGAATGTCTTTACAAAAATATAAAACGTTACAATTAATGTATGTTTATTTTCTATACAGATATTTGTAACAGAATATAAAATAGTGACAGTTTGTTTAAAGTTAAGCAACACAATGGGCTAGCTGTGCTCTGCCCACCACTGGTATCGAAACCCGGTTTGTAGTGTTATAAGTCCGTAGATATACCGCTGTAACAAGGAGAGTATAATAATATACATAAGAATGAAGAGAGATTTAATGATAGTCTCGAATTAGCTTATAAAGTTTTTACATTTTGCTTTTATATTAATAAGTCTCATTCCTTCGAGTATATTATTGCAATTACTCACTTTGTAACACCATTCATAAAATATGATCGTTATATTTGTTTGTTTGTTTTTGAATTTCGCGCAAAGCTACACGAGGGCTATCTGCGCTAGCCGTCCCTAATTTAGAGGGAAGGCAGCTAGTCATCACCACCCACCGCCAACTCTTGTACCAACGAACAGTGAGATTGACCGTCACATTATAACGCCCCCACGGCTGAAAGGGCGAGCATGTTTGGTGGGAGGGGGATTCGAACCTGCGACTCTCAGATTGCGAGTCGAGCGCCTTATCCACCTGGCAATGCCGGGCATACGTTATATTTGTATTCTACTGTATAGTAACTAGTACAAAATTACGCCTTATGTATTATTTGGAGTGATCTCTCCTTTACAAGAAATTCGGGACAGAACTAAACAGAAAAAGTAAGCAAATTTATATTTAGTTTTGCAAAAATTTGTTCTATACCTCAATCCAATCTTATTCTTATCATCAAAGATGGTTATCTTTCACAAATTTCTCACAGTTTCTGTAAAGCGAAATTTTAGAAAAATGCATAGGAAGATATTATGGGAAGTATTTAGTACGTTTATATCTCTCAAAAAATATAATTTTCCAATATTTATATCATATTATAAGTATACTTCAAATGTAAGTGCTTAATCACTGAAAATTAGCATAGTTTTTTTCTAATGATGTCAGCGTTCTTTATGATAAAACATTAATTTTGAGAAACATCTCGGCTTTCTAAGGTCTTTGACGTATGACAAAATAGCGCAATATTGTACTAACAAAGTGTCACGTACTTGTAACATATAGTTTCGATAAGGTGCCGTATTTATTTACCAGGAGTAATTACAACAAAATGTCATATTTGTCACTAATTCTACGACATAGTGCCATGCTCATACAGCATAATTTCTGTTTTTTGCATGCAGTTCAATCATAGTAAAAAAATTTTATAATAGCAAATAAGCAATTCTTAGCCAAAAACAAGGAAATAATATTAATCTGAGGCGTCATCTAGTGGAATATATATATAGCTGGAATTCCTATTGAAAATATGAAATAATTCAAAAGCAGAGTTTTGATATATCTTACAAGAGTATCTTTAACATGTCTTGTATTTATTTTTCTTATTTTGTTTTTCTTGTTCGTTCGTGATATATTTTACTGCCTTAGCCACAATTCTCAAAATCTACAGACAAACTTAAAGGTTTCAGCCCCGCAGAACAGAAAGATGTCATCCATAAAAGAAAACACTCGTGCTCAGCTGAGAATCTTCATACGTGTTAATAGGCAGAAAGATATGCATCTAACTAAGCCTAGCAACTAATAAATTACTTTGGCTTAGTACGAAAATGCATAGGTTAAAATTGTAATCACTTCATTAATATAATTAATTAAACGATTATTTACAAATAAGATGGCCCAAAGTAGATAATTTTATCAAACATCTATTATTTATTTTTAATTTACGATATTTAATATATAAAAAACTAAAGCACCGGTATATCGCTGTTATTATGATCTCCTCACGTTAGGGGCTTTTGAAACTTACTTTTGTTTATGATACTAACGATTCGAGAGACGAGTAATTCTCAAAAGCATTCATTTGTTGTCCACGCAATAAACAGTTGTTTGTAACCGACAGAAGCTGTTTGGCTTTTCAGTTACGCTGTATGTGCGTTATAATGCCAAACTTTGCTCTGAACAGCATGCATTTATTATATAGCTTTGCATTGCTGTCGTACACAACGCTGCTGACATCTGGTGTGTCGTAATTTTGCATTGTTCACCAGACGTGACTGTGTAACGTTGTAAAACCAGATAGATAACAAGTAGAGCTTCAAAACGACCGCGGAGGTTTAAATTGCGGTATGATAACCTAGTTATACTTTGTTTGTTTTTTTGAAATAATTTGGCCTACTTATTTATATCAACTATTCAACGTCATAGAATAATTTGTTTTCATAACACATTGTAGCTAAAAAGTCATCAGGTCACATAAATAATTAATGTGTATTTTATTAATAAATAAAGTTATAAAGGCAATATTACGGACAATAGGACTTTACAAAGGTTAATCACCGATTTTCCCTTTATATATGTATACGTCTAACTCGTTTTAATATTGCACCTGGTTGTTTATACCACATTATTAAGGATAAAGATATAATATCAAAAGGTTTTTCTTTCTTTCATACATTATTTTTACAACTGAAACTTCTAATACTGGGTGAACAAATATAATATGTCCCCCAGTGGCACAGCGGCAAGTCTGAAAGCTTGTAACGCTAAAAATCGGGTTTTGATACCCGTGATGGATACAGCACAGATAGCCCATTGTGTACCTTTGTGCTTAAGCACAAACCAACAAAGAACATTAAATACAATAAAGTCGAATAAACGAAAGAACTTTTAGTTCAAATAGGTTATAATCAACATTGTTATTTTTTTTACCAAAACCACAAGACATTTATTTTTCGTACTGACATCTTAACCAACTTTAATAGACGTAAAATACGACTGACTCAAGCAATCTGAAACAACTCGCTGCTACTTCAACATGAAACTATCCTTAATTAAGTAAAAAAGTATATCATAAACATAAGACTTTAAAGCGAGATGAATCTAAAAAAAGCATTTAATGACTAAATAAACTATTTTGTGTTACTAAGTGTACACGTTTGTTATTTTGTGTTACTAACTGTAGATGTTTGTCAAGACACCATGTTTGCATAGACACACGGGAATAACAACGTACTGATATACAGGTGTGTAAATCAATGTGCCTAACATGCTCTTCGCAGTGACTCACTTCACACAAGTATAAAAGGGCATTTCATCTCGTTAATGCACATGGAAGGAAATAATAGTAAAAACAGTTATAACGGTCTAAAACTTAGCCTTTGGAACGAAAGTATATACGTGAGATACTGCCATAGTATCTTAGAAGAGTAGCTGTAACGAAAGCGTGTGAAATATTGTCATGGTAACCTAAGAAATGTATGCACTTGTAACAAAGTGTGGGAAATATTGTCATAGTAGCCTAAAGATACACTTAGAATTAAAGTGTGTGAAATGTTGTCATGGCAACCTAAAGATACACTTAGAATTAAAGTGTGTGAAATGTTGTCATGGTAACCTCAAGATACACTTAGAATTAAAGTGTGTGAAATATTGTCATGGTAACCTAAAGATGCACTTAGAATTAAAGTGTGTGAAGTGTTGTCATAGTAACCTAAAGATACACTTAGAATTAAAGTATGTGAAATGTTGTCATATGGACCTACAAATCATTCAAATGAAAACACTAGAAAGATTGGTAAGGTAATAACTTAAAGTGTATATATATATATGTTTCTAACAAAGAATATGAAATATTTTCATGGCAATAAAGCAAATGAAGAAAAATATTACATAAACCTAAAGAAACAGTTGAACCAAGCGTAGTTGTCAAATTATATGCAAACTGTATCAGTAATAATAGCATATACTCATTTTTTTAGCTAAATGTTTGGCACGAATATCGTGTCATCAATCCATAAATATGGTGATTACATAGTATTACTTGGTTTTTAGATGGTTTTTGTGTCTTTTTCTAATTTTCTTAAACTTTCTACGCTGGGTTCTCATGAACTGATAAAAGACGTAATAGCTAATTTCGACCGGTTATGAAGAAATTCAATTTCTCATTTCTGCATTTAATCATTGATCGTTCATACCGATAAGTAGAACACTAATTATTTAAAAAATATCATAATGAAATAGACCTT